TTTCGTACCCATTTCGAGGTGCCGATTTTCCACCAACGAGCCTCCCGCCTTTCAATGTTTGGGTTGACTGGGCGGTGTGTGTAGAGGCCTCCCAGATGAGGCCCGCCTAGATGGGGTCGGAGGATCGCGACGCATCGCTGATGCATCGGCGTCGTCTTCGACGTACCCGCGCCATCGGCGTGGAGAAAATCGGGCTCCACATCGAGCCACATCACCGATGCATCGGCGATGCGGTGCGATCCTCCGACCCGATCTGCTGGGATCCCACCTTGGAGGCCTAGATCTTCCACCCCTCATGACCAGCAACAAAAGTACCCGTAATCCTTTGGGAACGGACCTACGGTAGGAGGGGCAATAACATTAGGGAGAACGGGGCCAGTGTTGAATAACGCACAGACGAAACCAGCCACACATTTAGGGGTAACCATACAACAAACAATCAAGGACCCAAGTTAGGAAATTACAATGGGGGGCCAGTCCACAAGCCACCTTCCACAAGAAGCCCAACCCTGAGACCCCAGGACGTCCATTGATCTTTGGTGCGGGAACGTCACGCTTTCCATCGCGCAACCATCGAAGCCCAAGAAACCGAGAGCACCCTGGAGGGAAGCACGGTGATTCTTGGCATGGTCCTCCACTGTGGACAGGACAGGCCAGAACGCTGAGTACGTGCCGCGCGCGCAGCAGCGTGCCCTAAGGGCTCAGCAGAAACAGAAGTTGGCCCATCCATCTCGACAGTGGCCGTCCCCGGGCTCGTCGCCCGTCAGGGTCCCAGCTTGAGACTCTCCGTGCCCGTCGCTCGCCATGCATCTTCTCCTCCGATGTGTCATTCCGGTGCTGCACTCTGGGCCAACATTTTTTTGAATTGCATAAGTTGGGCGCCCGAGTTATCCGGGGTAACTCGGGTCCGGGGTAACTCGGGCTTGGATTCCCGAAAAAGGAACCCGAGTTAGCCCTGACCCGATTTACCCCTGATGATTTTGGGGCTCTGGACGTCCGAATTATCCGGGGTAACTCGGGTCCGGGGTAACTCGGGCTTGGATTCCCGAAAAATGAACCCGATTTAGCCCTGACCCGATTTACCCCTGATGATTTTGGGGCTCTGGACGCCCGAATTATCCGGGGTAACTCGGGTCCAGGGTAACTCGGGTTCGAATTCCCGAAAAAGGAACCCGAGTTAGCCCTGACCCGAGTTACCCCTGATGTTGTGGGGCTCTGAATAATGCGGGATGACGATTAATAACAGATGGGGGGGAACGGATAAAAAATAGTGTTCTGCTATTTCTGCACAATTTTCTTACTGGAGGAGAACGATTCAAAAAAATAGTCTTCCAGCCCGCGGCCGGTTTCTTCTAATCGTCATCCCGGGCGCTGCCGCGTGAACACGACCCCCGGTCATTTATTAATCGTCATCCTCCATTAAAGGTTGTCCTGTGCCTTGTGGGGGGCTGGGCGGCGTGGAGGGCCGGCGCGGGGAGCGGGGCGCTCTGCTGCGTGGGCCGCCCCGCCTGAGCGCGGTCGCCTTCTGCGGCGGGCTCCCGCGGTCGCCACCCGCCTCCGCGCCGGCGGAGTCGGGCGCCTCGGCCAGGGGAGACAGGAGGAGGAGGAGGAGGGAGGAGGAGGAGGAGGAGGAGGGAGGAGGGAGGAGGGAGGCGGGAGGTGGGAGGAGGAGGAGGAGGAGGAGGAGGAGAAGGAGGAGGAGGAGGGAGGAGGGAGGGAGGAGGAGGAAGACGAAGGAAGACCCCAAGCCGGGCGAGCCCGCGCCCGCCAGGAGGGCCAATGGCACGCGAGCCGTCGCCCTCGCCATCGTCGTCACCAGCATCTCTGGCACGATGACCACGACGATGGCCACATCGTGAGCGACAGCCTCGCCATCGTCGTCGCCAGCATCACCGGCATGACCACGATGGCCACATCATGAGCGACAGGCGTGTCCTGCTTGTGGCGGAGGGCCAAAGGGGGGCAATCAGAGGGGGCGGGCCTTCTCAGAAGGTTCGGAGTGCCTCCCCAGCCTTCTGGGAAATTCTCTGAGCCTTCTCAGGAGGCCGGATGGCTTCTGAGAAGCCCCGCCGCCTTCTGAGAAGGCCTGCCCCCTCTCACTTCCCCCTGGGGGCGCGTCGTCGAAATTACACGTGCGATCCTTGCCGTTGCTTCGCATCAGCCAGCTCGGCGCCCTGCACCTCTATCGATGACGCTCAGGCCAGGGACTTCGCGATCTGAACATGAGGAAAGACGAAACGCGCTCGAGACACTGTCGGCTGGACATTTGGCAACGCGTGAGGAAACGGCTGGACGTTTGCAACAAACCATGCGCTTCACGATGGCGCGCCCGCCAAACCGTCATGTAACGCCCTTGACAGGGGAAGCCACCAGCGCGAATGCGTGGCCAGGACACCTGCTTGCGGCGGCAAGACTCGGAAAAAACAGCAGCGCATAACCACGCAGAACCTTATCCTGGGCCGCAGCGTGCGGGCCGCTGAACGCCAAGAAAACAAACATCTCTCCGTCCTTCGTCGCTGAGTCGGGCAGCCCCCCCCTCCTGACAGCTGGCCTGGCCCAGAGTCCTGCACGCTGACAAGGATACATCGCTGCGGACGCGAACAGGTGTGATGGGTTTGCCCCGCTGTGCCGACAACCCGTTTCCCCTCTTTCACGGTCGGCGCCGCGCCCCCGCTGGTTAGGAACGAGGAAGAAACAGCCACAACCGCATGGCTGAGGAAACCGCTCCTCCTCCACCTCCTCCTCCTCCTCCTCTTTCTCCTCCCTCTCCTCCTCCTCCTCCTCCTCCTCCTCCTCCTCCTCCTCCTCCTCCTCCTCCTCCTCCTCCTCCGCCCCTCGCACCATCGCAGGGACGACCCCGACCCCCCAAGGCGGTGATGACCTGCGGGCGGCGCCCGCTTTCGGATACCGTGCAGGTCATCCCCGCTGGGAGGTCGAGGCCGGCCCAAGGGGAGACAAGGACGGTTCCATCAACCGAGCGGTTGTACTTGTCGGTTCTTCACCCATGAATTGGGCCCCCTGAGAGCCCCTCCGGCCATTAACCCCCAAAGTATCGGCTATACGCAAGAGTGACCCTAGGCAAGGGGCAAGGGTGACCTTCGGTGCGAGTTCTAAGCAGGGGCCCTCTGGGACACCACTAGTCGCGCAAGCCGCTACGATCACATCGCATTCAGCGATCGGGGGGGGCCCCATTGGGCCTGTACCGAAGGCCACCCTGGCGAAAGGTCACTCTTTTACGCGTAGCCGAATCCACCTGCCCGACGCCGCGGGCTCCCACGGCTAAGCCACACCAGGCCCCCACCCCGGCGAGAGGCCCGCGTCTACGCCACGGCAGTCTCTACGCGGACACCCTCCGTCGACCTCTGCCTGTACCTCCAGGGAGGGCGGCGGTGTAGAAAGCCGCTGGGCTCCCAGTGGTGACTTATACGCCGCCGCCCTCCCCCGAGGCCCACGAACAGTCCGTTGAAATGGCGTCGGTGTAGATCTGCTTGCGGTGAGCAGCAGCGCCCTCCACCGCTGGAGCGTGCTGGGGCCGGCCAGCCTCGCCCCCCCTCCTCCTGGCTGCGCACCTCGGCCCCGCAGTGAAGACTCCGCGGGCCCTGGCCCGGGCTGGACGAAGAAGGCGTATCACGATCTCGACGACCCCACCACAAAAAGGCCTCACAGGCTGGAGCTCATCGAGTGGGGATATCAAAAGTCGTGGGTTGGTAATGGTGCCCCTGGCCCAAGGTGCCCCCAGCTTCCGCTCCATCTTGGACCCCTTCCGGTTCAGTGGGCCTCGTGTGGAGGGTGCTCTGGCTGCCGTCGGGGGGCCCATTGGAAATTCTTTGGGCACTTTAGAGGCCTCCTACATGAAGTCTGACTAGATGGTGTCGGAGGATCGCGCCGCATCGACCATACATCGGCGATACATCGCCGATGCATCGGCGGTGCATCGGCGACGTCGGCGATGTATCGGCGACGCCGGCGTGGAGGAAAAAAGGCTCCACATCGGGCCAAATCGCCGATGCTAGCCGTAACACGGGTAGCTGTTGCATTGCGGGTCCGCCCGACAGGGCGGGCACGCTCTGCCCCACAGGATATCTCCACGGTCCACGCATGGAACCTCGGAGTGCGTCCGAGGCCTGCGATATGGAGTAACTCCACTGAGATCTCCTCAGAGCCTGAAGTCGGCCCGAGAAGTCTTGGAGCCTAGATGCCAGCGGAAGGGGTCGAGCCCGAGCTCGAAAATATCGGACAAACAAAGAAAACTCGATCGTCGGTTCGACTGGTCTCAATCGTCCGTGAAGCAACCTGTCCTGGTGACTCTCGGATCGACTTGGGTTGTCGCAACAGACGATCCCTTATGACCGTCGTTCGCTGGAATCGCCCGTACCGATCACGAGCGGGATCACGTCGCTGGTCTCCTCGGTCATCAAGATCGCCAGGTCGAAGGAGATCACACCCACGATCTCGACCCAGGTCATCTCCTCGTAGATCGTACCCACGATCTCGCTCGAGATGTATTCGTCGCTCGTAATCTCGCTGTCCTGACCATATCGAATCTAGCCGCGCTGGAACCCCAGACGGACGATGGAAGTGATGACAAGACGCATCTGACTGACTGTAAACATATTATCCCGCCATTAGCTGGTCACCTGTATGCCCTAGGGGGTCTCAGACACTGGTGTGTTGTCCCTAGCTGGTCGGCTCCTGAGCTTCAGGGGCCCCAGCACGTCCAGGAGCCTATGCCCAGAGCGGCCTCGGCGCAGACTCACCTTCTCCGCCGGATTGCGCTCCTGGCCGCAGAACTGCAGGGAATTGTTCCTGATGCTCGCGTCATGATCGTTCAACCAGTCGACTCCCATCAAGACTGGCACATCGTCGGCGTCCAAAACGTACTTGCCAAGCAAACCAACAGGCGAACGAAGTCACATAATGGACAACGACTGGCCCCACTCCCCATTCGCCAACTTGATCCACGGTTCGTCGCCTCCGTCGATGTGGTACTCAGCCTGCGGCTACTTGTTCTTCACCGTCTCTGCGAGCGAGGCCACCGCGTCTCCACCGCCCGCCGCAGTAGTCGTCCCGCAGTCCAGCACCAGATCGGATGACACAGGATTGGACGTGGACCAGATCACGGGAAGGTCGAAGATACACCACCTCATGTAGCACGATGGCTGGCCCTTGCCCCTGCCGACGCTGCCCCTTGCCTTCCGCGGAGCCCTTGGATCCGAAACCTTTGCCCTTGGAAGCGACCTGCTTGCCTTTGGCCGAGTGGCGATCAGGACGCTCGCGCCCGTAGTGGTCAGGTCGGCCGCAGACCAAACATCCATTGCCGTTGGTGCTCGAGCTGCTTCCCTTTTGCCCTGCTCTAGCTCGGGGAGAGCACCCTGCTCTTGCAGGCCTCGGCCGCTGCTGTGCGCGCCCCAAGACAAGGTTCGACGGTCCTCCGCTGCGAGAACCTCCGCGGCGGCCGCTTGCTCCTCCAAGGCCTTGTCCTCGTGAGTAAGTTCGCTTGGCTTTGGGCGTTGCTTAATGGGGGGGTCACAAATGGGGGGGTCAGAAAAGGTCCCCTTTCGTGCCCCTTTCGGGCCCCTCCAGAGCCCCAGGGGGCTCGTTTAGGTACCGTTTGGGTACCTTTTCGGACCACCCTCGCCGCCCCCCCATTTATGACCCCCCCATTACGCAGCGCCCAATGGCTGCGGTGGTGGATCCTGTCCCGTGTACTGTGCCCACGGCTGCTGTTCCCATTCCTGAGATGGCCACGAACCATGTTCATAATCGTTCCGATCGAAAGCCCATGACTCGTAGTCAGCAGGGTAGAACCCACACCACCGAATACTGGAAACATCAACATACTGCCAATGCACCTGCCACTCCTCGAGATCTTCCTGCCCGAAAGCAAACGCACGTCTCTGAAACCACCTTTTTTGCTGCAGCCGATCACGATCGCATATGTATGTGTCGTACCAAGCGGCCCTAAATTGCGTCACCACCGCCTGGTAGATCGTGTCGCTCTGAGCGCCCGCCAGGATCATCACTCTCTCTCTCTCTTCTCACGTCTGGGCCACGCATTGTGTAATAGGCGATAACGTCGAAGCTCGGACTCGAAGAAATTCAACCCATGGCCGTCGGTACTCTCCTGATAAGACTCGACTCATCCGACTCGTATGCTTCAGCCTGTTCTGCCGCCTCTTCGAATCACTCTTCGCCGAAATCCGTATCTGCCGTCGCTCTCGTCGAATGGGTCTCGTCATCCTCAGCAATTCTAGGTCGGCCTGTCCCGCCAATCTTCTGACCAGAGCGGCGCTGCCGATCCTCTCGTACTCTCTGTGGAGCTTGTCGCATCTCCCTAACAAGCTATCCTCTCTGATGGTGTATTATATGATCACCTCGCGTGGCTTCCGAACCAACTGATCGTACCCTCTAATATGTTGGCAACCGTCGGGGATCGGCATCCTGGCGAGAGGCCCTTCCCTGAGGTGTCGGAAAAGATTGTCAACACTGTCGCCGTTCAGTATCGTCGCCGGTCGTAGATCCTTCACCGCTTCCTTGGCAGCTCCCTTCAGCGCAGACCACAGACGAGCTGTGGCCAGACCTTTCTCGCTCGACTTGAGTCCTGCTCGGTGCCAAAGAACGGCTTTGGCGCAACTCTCAAGCAATAGAAGATCTCCCCTCCAACATGAAACGCCGTCCTCGGTCTCACACCCTGAAAATAAACGTGTCGCTCCTGCCGTGAATCTCCACTGTAGCTCCGCTGCCATGTTAGCGGTTCTATGTACTCTCTCAATGCAGGCGGAAATCGACAGCGTCGGTACACACAAACCCGCAATAAAGAATATCGAAACAACTCGATATCTCACAATCCGTTTGCAGGACGGCGCCAGCTGCCGTCGTCCTGTGGCGCCTCCTGATGCCGCAGAGTCTACATTATAATGACATCCCTCCCTGTAAGGTTGTAGAGGACATGACTGTGGATATGGGGCGAATCTGAAACACGTCAGACAATACATGCTGGGGAACTGCCAGATGACTGGTTATAGCCCCTCTAGGGCCCCTCTAGGGCCCTTGCCCTCACGCCCCCATGTAGGCCACCCCCCAATCGCCACCCGCCCGAGTCCCCCTCGTCGGACCCAGCTCGCCTGCCGCACCGCCTCTTCCCCCCTCCTCCTCCTCCTCCTCATTTTCTTCCTCCTCGTCCTCCTCCTCATTTTCTTCCTCCTCTTCCTCCTCCTCCTCCGCCTCCTCCTCCTCCTCCTCCTCCTCTTCCTCCTCCTCCTCCGCCTCGTCCTCCTCCTCCTTTTCCTGCTGCTCCTCCTCCTCCTCCTCCTCCTCCTCCTCCTCCTCCTCCTCTTCCTCCTCCTCTTCCTCCTACTCCTCCCGAAGATCCTCGAAGATTCTCCGAGATCCCCATCCCCGAAGATCCTCGAAACCCCGAACGTGTTTTCCCTCCCGTGGGGTCGACGGGACCGACGGCCACCACGAGCTCGGGGGCCCGCCCTCGGACAGCCGAGGGGGTCTTCCGCATCGGCGCCGAGGCCAGGGGGCACGAGGCGCAGGGAGGGGCAGCTGCTCCAGGCTATTCGGCGGTGGACAAACATCCCTTTAGTAGACCTCCCCCTAGTGAAAACGGCCTGGGACCGAAATCGACGGACCTGGACCCGCAAAAATGACGGCCGCGACGCCCTCCCGCGGACCGAAAACGGCCAATTCCTTCATCGACGTGTCAGCGTAGGAGGCCTGTCCACCCTCGAGCTGTGGTGAGGGGCGGGCCGCCGAGGCCCGCGCCGGGTCCGCGTCGTCGTTGCCGGCGCCGTCGCGGCACGGGAAGCCCGAGCTGAGCGGCCGCGGGCAGGGGGCGGTCGGCGTCGGGTCGGGAGGGCGGGCCGGGTCTGGGAGGCGAGGGCAGCATCACGGACACGCCGCCGTGGGGAGTCCAGTCGCGTGCTGCCGCCGCAGCAGCACCGGCCCCGGGGACGAGAGCGGAGGAGCGAGACGCCGACGTGCTCCCAACGGCGGTGCGACATTGCTACTCGTGTCCCTCCCGAGGGTAGGAGCGCACGCCGGATCGGGACGCATCGGCACGGTGTCGGGGGCGGTTCGGATCGGCCGCGCCAGGATGCACGACGAAGCCGCGGAAGCATCGGGCCGCATCGCCTCGCACGAAACAGCAGAGCCGAATCGGTTCCAGTTTGTCTGGAAGCTGCCTGGACTCGAATCGATCGCATCGAAGTCGACCCTGGGGGGGGGCGGGGGCGGCGAAAAGGGGGGGGGGCAGGGGGGAGAGGGCGAGGAGAAGGGCGAGGGAAGGAGGACGTGGGAAGAGCCGCGGGAAAACCACACCATGGGCGTCGCCGCGCAGATGCCAGAGCACCCGTCGCACGTCTCGCGCCGCCCCCTCGCGAGCTCCAACTGCGGGCCCGGGCGGGGGAGGGGGCGCGCTCCAGGGGCCGGCCTGGCCAGGACCCCGGCGCAACTGCGCAGTCGACGTCCTCCAAGGCCCAACGGGTGGAGGAGGAGGAGGAGGAGGAGGAGGAGGAGGAGGGAGGAGGAGGAGGGAGGAGGAGGGAGGAGGAGGGAGGAGGAGAGGAGGAGGAGGAGGGAGGAGGAGGAGGAGGAGGAGGAGGAGGAGGAGGAGGAGGAGAGGGGGAGGAGGAGGAGGAGCAGGAGGAGGAGGAGGAAGTCCTGCTTTCGCCTCCTCCTACTTCTCCTCCTCCTCCTCCTTTTCCTCCTCCTACTTCTCCTCCTCCTCCTCCTCCTCCTCCTCTTCCTCCTCCTCCTCCTGCTGCTCCTCCTCCTCCCCTTCCAACCCCTTCCATTTATTTCTTCTCCTCCTCCCTCCTCTCCTCCTCCTCCTCCTCCTCCTCTCCTCCTTCTCCTCCTTCTATGTATCAGTATCCTGCTCCTCCTCGTATTATTAGTAGTATGATCATTCGTATTCTTATACGTGTTCGTATTCTTCTTATTGCTTTTATTATTAGTATTATTATTATCATTCGTATTATTATTATTCGTCTTATTCTTAATAATAGCATTCCTCTTCTTCTTAGTATAAGTATGATTCGTCGTTTTCTTCTTATTCTTCTTCTTATTATTATTATTATTCTTCTTCTTCTTCTTCTTCTTCTTCCCCCCCTCCTCCTCCTCCTCCTCCTCCTCCTCCTGCTGCTCCTCCTCCTCCACCTCCTCCTCCTGCTGCTCCTCCTCCTCCTCCCTCTCCTCCTCCTCCTCCTCCTCCTCCTCCTCCTCCTCTCCTCTCCTCCTCCTCCTCCTCTCCTCCTCCTTCCTCCTCCTCCCTCCTCTCCTCCCCCACCTCCTCCTCTCCTCCTTCTCCTCCTCTCCTCGTCCTCCTCCTCCTCCTCCTCGTCTCCCCTCCTCTCCTCTCCTCCTCCTCCTCCTTCTCCTTCTCCTTCTCCTCCTCCTCCAAATTCTCCTCCTCCTCATCCTCCTCCTCCTCCTCCTCCTCCTCCTCCTGGACCTTTCCAACTGCGCAGTCGACGCCCGCCGAAGCTCGATGGGTGGAGGACGAGGAGGAGAATGAGGAGGAGGAGGAGGAAGAAACGGAGGAGGAAGCGGAACATGAGGAGGAGAAAGGGAACGAGGAGGAGGGGGAGGAGGAGGGGGAGGGGCAGGAGGAGGGGGAGGAGGAGGAGGAAGAGGAGGAGGAGGAGGATGATGATGAGGAGGAGGATGAGAAGGAGGAAGAGGAGGAGGAGGAGGGGGAGGAGGAGGAGGAGGAGGAGGAGGAGCAGCAGCAGGAGGAGGAGGAGCAGGAGGAGGAGGAACACGAGGAGGAAGAGGAGGAGGAGGAGGAGGAGAAGGAGGAGGGGGAGGAGGAGCAGCAGGAGGAGGGGGATGAAGGTGGAGGAGGAGGAGGAGGATGAGGGGGGGGAGGACGGATAGGAGTAGGAGGGGGGAGGAGGAGGAGGAGGAGGAGGAGGAGGAGGAGGAGGAGGAGGAGGAGGAGGAGCGCAGCAGCAGCAGGAGGAGGAGGAGCAGGAGGAGGAGGAGGAACACGGGAGGAGGAGGGAGGAGGAGAAGGAGGGGATGAGGATGAGGATGAGGATGAGGATGAGGATGATGATGATGATGATGATGATGATGATGATGATGATGATGATGATGATGATGATGAGGAGGAGGAGGAGGAGGAGGAGGAGGAGGAGGAGGAAGGGGAGGAGGAGGAAGGGGAGGAGGAGGAGGAGGAGAAGGGCACCGTGACCCCTAGCCATAGCGGGACGAGGTGGGGCCGCCAAGAACCCCACTTGAAGTCGGCGCATGGAGGCCTGAGTGCGCCTACAACCTATTCCACCTACCAGCAACAAGCCGATCCCCAACGATCTGTAACCAGCACGACAAGTACCTCAGCGGCTGAGTCGAGCACCAGGAGCCTGAGCCCCACATAGTCAAACAGTTCCACTCGACCAGCGCGACCGAGCCCAGTACAAAGAGCCTATCATCACCGAGCCAAACGACCACTGGATCAGCGATGCCGAGTTGAATGGAGTGAATGGAGCGAATGGAGAAGGTTCATCATACCGAGACAATTACTGCCACTTCGACCAGAACGACGGTGCCGAGTACCACAGGGTCGAGGGCCAGCTAGTCAGCCACTGCTTCAATCAGAGCGACGGCCCGAGCACCACAAGCTTGGCATCACAATCACAAAGCGTATCGCGAGGACCAGCACTAACGAGTCGAGGACAACAGATAGAGCTACTGGGTCAAGCCATACCAGAAGACGAATGACTGGGACGAGGGCCACAGGGTTGGGCACAGCATAGCCAACAACAATTTCGACCAGCATGACTGAGTCGAGTACCACAAGCTCGAGGGCAACAGAATCATGCTCTACTA